TCTTGCAGTGTGAAGTATTTTCCCTAACCATGGTGTGGAATGTAGGTGAATTTTAAGATCATGAGGGGTGTGGAATCATTAAGAACACCTAGAGAAAATACCAAAGATGATGGTGGTAATCCTGGTTAGGGCTAACAGAAAGTCCCTTAAAGTATAGGACGTGCTTAAGAAAATATCAGACTTGCAAAATGAAGAAATGAATGCAGTGTTCCTCAGTAACGCTGACTCACAAGATCATTTTTTCAGGCTTGAGTTACATGCTGAGTAAGTGAGTCACATCATGGGTATGACCTGCTAGGGTGCTTGTCTACTTATATGTCTGACTTTTCTAAAAACATCTCTCAAGCTTTTAATGCTTGATCAGACATATGTTGACCATTTGTCATGTTGTAGTATTCTACTTTGTCATGGAGTCCTTCATTCTTCAGGATTCTGCACAGCTCCTTCTTCACATACTCAATTGCATACTAGCTCTTTTGCTTGTAGAACAGTGATGAGCAACCTAGGGTAGTGAGCAGGCCACATGAGCTGCTCTCCTTCATCTCAGTGGGCCACAAGATTGTCATAATCAAGGCAGTCCCCTAGGCTAGGATAGGTTTGCTAACTGTGCCTGTGTACATAGAGTGTGTCACTTGAACTGCAGCAGCTCTTTGATTGGACACAGGGAGTGCATGGCTCTCACAGTCAATGTTGTGTGCAATCAGCATGCACCTCAATTCATGTGCTTTGCTTTACATGCACGTCACTTTAGTAATACCAGTAGGAAAAAAAATTATTTGGATGGAAACCAGCAGAATCTGGCAACTCTGCACCTGGGCAATGATAAACAAAATGTCTCACAGGCCACACACAGAACCCCGATGGGCCATCCAGGTTCCCATCATGGTTGTAGAATAAGCTATGTTGGTGCATATCAACTCACATGGTAAAAGCTAATTACTAATCATTATCTGTGATTTATGTAAAAATAAAGATTAATGACGTATACAATGTAAAAATAAATAGATATAAAATTTAAAAAAACCTCTCTCCATTAAAAGGCAAACTTAAGGCAGTACAGTTAAGCTCTCAAAAGCAGGAGATGCTGAAGTTAAGGTTAAGCTTGTGACCTTAACTTTGCTGGCATGAGTTATAAGGCAATCTTTAATAGCATGATCTATATTATTCCTTAAATAATGCAGTATAATATTTACATTGATCATGAACTTAGGCCAATATTTTCAAACTTAGTTGTTTAAAGCAAGGCATCTAAATCCATATTTAAGCACCTAACTCAATGGCATGATTTTAAGAGGCCGAGTATTTATAATTCCCATTTAAAACAAGCAGTTTAAATAACAAACATTTATGCAGGTAGTTAGACATAAACATGGGGACTAACGTGGAATTTTGCTATTCCTTATTTTAAATGTATTTATGCATTTTTTTGATCTTGGGAGGAGGAGTTCTTAGGCAGCAAAAGCTCACAATTTTCAGAGATATTAACTTTAGATGACCAAGTTTGAGAATGCAAGCCTAGGTTCATTAACACAATGGTACAATATGTCTTTGTTGTCAGTTCCCAAGATCAGTGGCTTTTCTTCACTTTGGTTTTCAGGGATGATGTAGATTGATTTTCCTCATTTTGCCCTGTGAACTGTCAATGTGTTTTCAATCCCCTGAGAGTACCGACTCCCATCAAAAGCAGACGGATGGCAGCATTTTGACAGAAAAATATTTTATTTCACTCTGAAATTATAATCCTGAAATTTGAATAGTCGGGTATCTAAGAAAAAATAATTTAGAATAGATTTTGTGTTTTTCATCTTTCTAACTGATGTCAGAACTCACTGGCTGACTACCAAAACCTTTGACCAGCTTTTATCTATACAGATACAATTGCTTCCTGTACTAATAACCTGCACAACCTGCTCTTCTAATTTAAATTAGGATACTTGCATAGTATCCAAAATACCTCTAGTCTTCCTTGTCTATTTCTTCTCTATTCATCCCCTTCCTCTCTATCCCTGTAAAAAGGATCTTTTATGAAAGAATTCACTGTATACCAAGAATTGTTGGTTTTTTTACTTAGCATTCCTTAATATTGGCTACATTTTCCTCAATTAGTGTAACTTTCTTTCCTCCATTCTTTATGCACCAATGAGATTCCCTTCTAGTAAACAAAGCTAATGGTGACCAAAATTGATATTAAGAACTCAAAGGTCATTTAGAATAATTGGCAAGACAATTATTCAATCAGGACATGTGTATATATACAGTATTAGGAAATTATTTCAAAATAACTAAATTCAACTTAACTCCCGATTTTACAAAATCGAAATAACATGTCCCCACTATAGGGAAACCTCAAAATTAGTCCTAGGCAGGCTCCATTAACATGGATACACTACCTCAACAGGGCCCCAAGAAGCACTGGGGAGTAATTAGTTCAAATTACTCTGGGGAATACTTATTTCAAAATAGAGGTACTAAAGTGTCCACACTAACGCTATTTCAAAATAATTATTTCAAACTTAGCATTATTTCCCCAGGAAAGCGGTTGTATAGATTTCAAAATAAGGGTAGATCTACATAGCATGCTTATTCTGAAATAAACTATTTTGGAAGAAATACTCCAAAATAGCTTATTTCAAAATGTAGATGCACCCTAAGTGGCCAGTTATTTCAAAATAATAGGCTTGGTAATGTGGACACTCCCCTTATAAATTCGACCTGGGGGTGGAGTATTCTGAAATAACGCCATACTGTAGACCAGGGTTCATAGAGTAACTATGTCACACTTGCAAGAGCTCCTCATTTGCAACTGGTAAAGGGGTCATTGTTCTATAAAAGTTACTCTTGACAGGCTGAAAAAACTACTTCTAGCATACTTCTTTCGTATTATTTAGTCATAAAGAATGTCATGTGAGGTCTTCAATAAAAACTGGGGTAACACTAGTCATTAGTAGCATTGCGAAATGTGTTTCTATGAAGTTATGTATAATTATTCTGAAATATGTTCCTAAAAAATCTAAACCAAAGCAGACAAAGCAAATTTGGTATTCTTGTGAGTAGCCAGTTACAAGGGGTGGATATCACAGGCAAATGCTTCAAAAGGGCTTGAGGGATGGGTTGCATCTATTGTTAACCCGTAAAGCAAAGTAAGGGATAAAATAGCTGTTGTAAGTTGAGGGTTCGTAGGCCTGAATAGAGGCTTATAACATGAAAACAGCAACAGACCTGCAATCTAGTAAGACTTTTGTTCAGTAACACAGGAGCCAAGAAAGAGGCCCTATTGATAATTGTGTAAGTTAGGTGGAGCATGGAAGGACACAGGGAAGGCACTGGGTACAGATTGTAAGCCAAAGGGGAGTAGCAAAACATCTTAATAAGAAATGTCTTGGTACAAAGACTCCCCAAAACCGAATGCACATACCGACCTAGGTTCAGGACCGGGTCAAGATTGACAGCATGAAGGATAGTAAGTAAGCCCCCCTTCCATAAGGTGAGGGGTGGTAACTAGGCAACAGAGGGTGGCAACCTTGTATGTAAAGAAGTGATGTAACTTGTTTGTACCTGTATATAAAAGGACACTGCAAAGGGTACACTCCAACCGACTTGGTGGGGGTGCACCTGAAATGGCAGGTGTCAGTGCTGACACTTACAGAATGCACAATGGCTTACTAACCCACGTTAATATCTGTTATTTGGTAACAGGCCTGCTATGTGTTGGCACATTGTCAACGTGTGCCAAATGCACAATGGTTTAGTGTTGAGAATTTCTGCTAACAACTGTTACTGCATCACATTTGACAATAAACCTGCTTGATGATTTTACCCTTGCATGAATCTGTGATTTCCGGGGGCTCTCTGAGGTCTCCTGGGTTGACCCAAGTGCACGGGGTCTAATACTCTAGATAAAGTGAGCATTGCCATTGACGCACACAGCCAAAAGTTTATCATCATTGATGGAGTAGCGGTCCTGTCAGGAGCGCACCGGGACAACCCTGAGAACCCTGACCAGATGTCATACTGTCAGTGTCATCCTGTCAGTGTCAATAGCCTTGAGGGGATTGTCTGGGTGACTACATCCAAATAAGGGTTAGCAAGTGTCTCTTCCTTGCCGGAGGAGGAACAAGGTGACTCAAAGTTCTGGGTACCTGAAGGACCACCACACTCACTGATTTCAGTTGCAGATGAAAAGTATTTCTGAAATGTGGTGTTTCAAATAAGGCATCAGTGGCCTCTTTTGTATATTTTAGGTAGTGGACTGGAGTGGTTAACAGGGGAGTTTTGTGAGAGAATTCTCCCAAAGGGAGGATTGATTACATGACCTTGGAGTTTGCATGAACTATGTTTGTTTGTCTATAGTCTGTGTGTTGGTGTTTATGATGTGCTTGATGTTTGACTGAAATATACTGTGTAGTCTGTTTGTTTGAGGTCCGTGTGCTGAGCCTAGTAGCTAGCTAAGCAAGGTTGAAAGCTTCTTAATGAGCCTTTCAGAATCCATAAAACCCTTAACTAAGAGGAGGAGCAACTCTGACCAGGGCTTTAAAAAGCCTAAGGGCATATCTACACAGCAGCGTTATTTTGGAATAACTAACATTATTCTGAAATAACAAAGAGAACATCTGCACAAGCCATTATTGCAAAATAATGGTGAGCTGGAAGATTCCTTACTCCAGCTCCTGTAACCCTCATTTCACAAGGAGGTTGTTCTTCCTTCAGCCTCCTTCTGTGAAGACAGTGCCAAAAGCTGAAATAAGCTACTCTGACTTCAGCTATGCAGTTGACATAGCTGAAGTTGTAGTTTAATTTGACTTTTGCCCTGCTGTGTAGACATGCCATGTGTGACTGGAGGAGCTAGCAAACAGGAATAGCTAATGGGAGTTTTGCAAGGGAGTCGTGTGTGTATCTTGATATACTGAACGTTCTTTAAACTTAAAGCCAAAAACAAGCTCCTGATAAAAATAAAATATCAATAAAGGAACGTCAAAAGAATGGAGGGGGTTTCCCGATAGCAGTAAACCTCTTTCTACGAGGAAGAATACCTTTTCCAAAAACGTTTTTTTGGAAAAAGGCATGTAAGGATGTGGAAGAGGGACTTGTGTCGAAAAAAGAGGCCACCAGGAAATTACACGGGTGCCCTGCTGGCCATTCCATTCAAACTCATCACAATACTATAGTTCCTGTCTCCTAGCAGCTCTTAAAGACGTAGGCACCCGGGACAAGGCTTGTGGCAGGAAGCCAGCCCTGGGAGCTGTATCTCACCGCACAGCTCACACTGCTACGCTCCTTGGCACCATGGCCTAGCCTCAAGCCACCCGAGAACCCACTGGCCCTCAGAGGGAGCATGCCCAGGGTTCCCAGGACCCTACCAAGGGCACAAAAAGGTGTGTGCCATTGTGGTCTGGAGCGGACATGGCCCTCCTTGATGTATGGGGTGAGGAGGAGACCCTCCAGGTTCTCCGCTCCAGACGGCGCAAAGCCAACATCCACGGCTGGATGGATAAAGCCCTGGCAGTGAGGGGCCAACACCCCAGGAGCCTTGAGCAGGTCAGGAGCAAGGTCAAGGAGCTGCGGCAGGGCTACACCAGGGCCAGGGAGCACAGCTCTCACTCCAGGGCAGAAAGACACTGCTGTCCCTACTTCAACAAGCTGCACCGCATCCTGGGGCCTGGGGCAGTCCCTTCCTCATCCCTGGTTGTGGGCTCAGGGCTGGAGATGCCCATTGTCACCTGCCCGGGGGTCCTAACTGACGAGGAGGAGGAGGATGCTGAGTTGGAGGAGGAGGAGGAAGACACAGCCAGCGCTGTCACCCTCAGCCTGGAGCCAGTACCCCAGGGCCTGGATTTCTCCCAGGCATCCTCTGAGGCTGGGGAGAAATCATCAGGTGAGTGCTCTTAGGTTTTCATACACACAGGGGTTTACCAGAGCCTGAAGCACCATTGAAAAATAGCCCTTGCGGTTAATGTAGTGGGCGGCTTGATGTTGTGGTGTGCGGATGGGGAAATGGATTCCATCTATGGCTCCCCCCCAGTTGGGGAAGCCCAGAGCGGCAAATCCAGCGACAATAGGGTCCAGGTCTCCCAGGCAGATGACCCTTTGCAGCAGGACAGAGTTGATAGCTGTCACCATCTGCAGAAGGACACAAAGAAACACACAAAACAGAGAATTAGAGGGGGTGCCTGAGCCTTTGGCACCCCCAGCCCTCCCCCCTTTGCCTAGGGTCCCCCTTTCCAGTAGTCCTCCCCGCCCCATCTTCAGGGACTGCAGCCCGAATGTGCTTACCTCCGTGAGGAGGGCCCTGATGGTGGACTTTTCCACGCCAAACTGGTTGTCCACAGATCCGTAACTGTCTGGCATTGTGAGCTTCCAGACGGCAATGGCGAACTGCTTCTTCAGGGGGATGGTGGGTCGCATCTGGGTGTCCTGTCATCCGAAGGCAGGGGTGAGACACGCACACAGCTCTGTGAAGGTGGCCTTCCTCATGCGGAAGTTTTGGCACCACTGCTAGTTGCCCCACCGCTCCATCACCAGTTGTTCCCACCAGTCGGAACTGGTGTCCAGCCTCCAGAACCATCTCTTCTCTATGGTGTGCTGTTGCAAGGGTCTTGCTCCCGTGCACAGCAAAGGGTCTTGAGGATGAGCTCTGAGTCGAGTTTGTGTAGGCTTGACCATGAAGGCAGCCTGTACAAACTGCTACAGAAACTGCAGCATGGCCGTGTGGGGCCATCGCATGCCAAGAGGCAGCTCCAGCTTCATGGCAAGGAGTATGCTGTGGTGTCCAAAGGAAGGGTAGCTAGAGCACACATTGCAAATGCTTTGCTGTCCCTCACAGAGGTAGGCAAGCAAGCAGCAGAAGGTGAGAAACAGTTGTCTTGGGGGTCCCTTTAAGCACACATCTCAGCTAACCTTAAGCAATAGCACCCGGAAGCAACTGCTGAACTAATGATCTGTTAGAACTGGTTCCGGGTGGCCTTAAATGTGAGATAGCATCCAATCAGTGTGGACGTTATCTTTCAAAAAAGCACATTGCTATTTTGTTGCGCTTTTTGCATCTGGACGTTCTCCTTCAAAATAAGCTTTTCCAGAAGATCTCTTCAGGAAAAGCTTATTCTGAAAGAAGTTTGCAGTCTAGACATAGCCTAAGTCTCTGAATCACATGAGTTTAGCACTTACCACATTTTAATTTGAAATGATGGAGCTAGTGAGAAACATAGCAGACTTTAAAGGCAAGCTCCCTAGGAAGAAGTAGATCTTTGTCCAGTAATTTGGTTGGAAGTCATTCTAGCAAAGGGAGGCAGGTTTGAAAATAGTGGCTCACCTGAACCTATTAATGCTTGAGGAATAAATATCTCCTTAGAATAGAGTTTTTTTTGAGGGGGTGGGAGGATTGTTGTTTGTTTCCTTTCTGAGAGGTAGGGGCTAATACATTAGTTTTCTGAGCTAATACATTAGTTTTTCTCCTCTGGGTACCTGGGCTCAGGTTTCACTCATACAGGATACAAGTGAAAATGAATCTGGTGGATTTTCAGCATTTTCCTTACTGAATTCCTCTGAGATTTCAATTGCTAATCTCGCTCAAAGAGCCCCATTCCTGGGAATGCAAGGTGCTTTCAGGTTAAGATTACAGTTCATGGGCAGAACTGCGCAGATGAATTTGTGCACTGTCTGCTGTTCTCACTCCCTCACTTTCATGGACACTAAAATGACCTGTTTTTTTTAAAAGAAATGAAATAAATCTGTGTCTCCAGGAAAGAATTTCAGACATACATTAGTTCCAAAAACACTCAGCTGCATAAAAGCCAGACTCCATTTACACATAAAATTCACCACCATTCATCTTGAGAATAAATCTTCAATGTAATGTATACAATTTATCTAATTTGTAAATGTCATATTCAGTTTCCCTTCTAGTCTGATTTTCACATAAAACAATGGCTCCAAAACCAATTACTAGAAGTTTTATCAGAAAAGTCCCTGCTTACATATTTAAAAGTATACAATATTCACTGTAGTTAATACATGCATTTTCAAGGTGTGTAATTGCCCTTTATGGACCATTATCATCAGACTTTGACCAAGCTATCCTGCAGATCGTCAGCCATCTTGAAGCCCACTCCCCTTTACCTTATGTTTAGCAAAGTTCAGCCAGACTAAAAAATTTACTCTATTAATTCATAAGAATTTAGACCTTATGTACAAAATATGTCAACTATTAAGTGTGTCTTCAAGTGGATTTTGCTAAAAACAGAGAAATTTAAAACTTAATATTTAGGAAATATATGAGAACCGATAAAGGAGCATTTCAAATAGGTCACGTAGTTGAACACAGTTATGGCATTGGGTATATAATTCATAATTCTTTGTTTTTTCATGATAGCTCCGGAGATGTAAACTTCTAATAACTCTGCTGCCTGAGAATTTCAACTCAAACTTGAGTTCTGGCTGAGACAATGCTTTGGTGCTGTTGTGAAACTGTGTGTTTCTGGACTTTGAGCAGCACTTGATTTGAAGATAGGACAAGACGAAACTAGCTTAATGTGTAGGAAGGGATTTTAAAGGTAGGTATAAGAAAAAAACATAATGATAACTAAATGTAGAAATATATTTCTAAGGGAGGTCTAGATCCCCCATCACTGGAAAGTTTAAAGAACCCATTAGATAAACATCTGTCAGGGATGGTCTAGGTATTCTTGATCCTACCTCAATGCAGAGGGCTGGACTAGATAACATTTTGAGGCCCTTCCTGCCCCACACTTCTTTGAATTAATGATTCTCCAGGAGTAAATAACGACAACAAACACAGGAACAGAAAAGTCTACTGCAGCTATAAGTTACTAGCAATGGAATGGGCAGGGTCTGTGTTTGACCTTTCATGTAACAGGAGAGATCTCCATCGTTAGTGGTAATACTAGGGATGAGACAGCCAGAAAATAGACATAAGCAAAGCATGTTGAATCTATTGGAAGGAAATATTTACAAATATCAATACATTGTAGGTGATTTTCAATGTCATGCAAAACAAATTGCAAAAGTTACCTAGTCAATCTACACTGCCACCCTAGTTCGAACTAGGGTGGCTAATGTAGTCATTTGAACTCCTGCAATGAGGAGTAATGGTAGTTCGAATTAGGAGCTTTAATTCGAACTACCTAGCCCGTGCTGCATGTAGCCACGGGCGGGGGGTTCAAACTACCGGGCATTTAAATATGGCGGTGCCCGGGAACATGCAAATAAAGCCCGGGATATTTTAATCCCGGACTTCATTTGCAAGTTCGAATGACTACATTAGCCACCCTAGTTCGAACTAGGGTGGCAGTGTAGACATACCTTGATAGAATACCTTTGATGAAAATGGAGGTAGAGTACAACAGTTTTGTATTTTGCTTACTGTGGTGTTGACAGAAGATGTCATTGACTTACGGTGGGAACTGTAAAAAGAAAGAATAGATTAACAGAACAGAACCAGATCAAGATGAAATAGTAGCTCAGTTTGGACTACAAACCTCCGACATAAATTTCTCTTGATATAATGTTTTGTATACAGAATGGACATGAAGTAAACATTAAAATACTTTTCAAAGAAGATAAATGAAATTCTGAAGTAACATGGTCCCATTATTAAAAACCGATTAATTTTATTGAATAGGTAAACTTGTTGAATATGAGCAGAGAGAAACCAATCTAATTTAGAAATCTGCAAGGCAGAGTGTTTTTTTTTTTTTATTGACTACACAGACAATGATCTGCAGTGAGTTTTTGAAAGACTTTTTGTTGTAGGTCAGTTTAGCTTCTGGCTACAAAATGAACCAATAAAGATTTTTCTGACTGTACTAAATCCAAATTAAATTCAATATATTACTTTTAAATTAGTGAGTCATTTATCCTGTAGTTTGTCTAACATTTAGGGAAATATATATTCTTTTTTTGATATCCAGGACTTTAGTCACTAATGCTGAAGGCAGATAAATTATTAAAGTCCTGCACCTTTCGCTGAGAATATATCCCCTTAAGCTTTGCATGATAGAAAGGCCTATTAAGTTATCTAGCCCATCTTCTTGACAATGCAGCACAGCACTTTCTAATGTAATTATTAGTGCTTCCTTCCATCTACTTTTAGTCAGCTCAGGAGCTTCCTCCTCTTCCCTAGTAGACTACTCTAAAGTGGCTAGCTTAAAAGGTGTGATATTCCAAAGTATTGGCCCTTTGACTTCAATGGAAGCAGAGTTAGGCCAGTGCTAAATGCTTTTGAAAATTAAAATACTGTATGTTTTGCATTATCTGCACCTTATTATTTCACGCCCATTTACTGGCTTAGTTGACATTCCCAGTTCCTGAATACCATTTTAATACTTTTCATACTCCTCAAATTTACAAGCAGAGCATTCACACTACCAAGCCCATTCTTTAAAAATAATGGGCTGCGGAATTCGAAATCTGTACTCCTGAGTTTCATCAGGAGTAATGCTAATTTGGAAATAGTGAATTCAAAATAATGGTTGTGTGGATTCTCCGGTACCACTATTTTGAAATAATTGCTCCCCGGAGTAATTTGAACTAATTACTCCTCGGTGATTGCTGGGGCTCTAAGTCTGAGGTAGTCCATCCACATTAACAGAGCCTGCCTTCGACTAATTTTGAGGCTTCCCCATAGTGTGGACACACTAGTTCAAATTTGTTAAATCGGGAGTTAAGTCGAATTTAGTAAGTTCAAAATAATTTCCTAGTGTAGACATGGCCTTAGCAATTAATAGGAGATATGTGAAGATTTCTACTCATTTAGATAGTAAGAGTACATAAACCAGTTACACAGAGAAAACTACACTTGAAAGAACAAATCTGATTGGCCACCTTTGAGCTTCCAAATCTTCCATATTGCAGACAAGTAGTAACATTTTCAAATGTGCCAAAGTGTTCTAGGAGCCTACAGCAATGTCTACACTAGCACTTTTATTGGTATAACTGCTGTCTCCAAGGGTGTATAAAAACACCCCTCTGAGTGATGGTTATTACACCAACAGAAGTGTCTATGTACATGGTGCTATGTTGGCAAGAGACACTCTCCCATACACAAAATTGCTGCCACTCATTGGAGGTGGTTTAATTAGTCAACAGGAGAGCTCACTCCAGTCTGCATAGAGTGGCTATACAAGCGACCTTAAGGCTGTGTCCCTGTAAGTTCATTAATGTAGACATGGTATCGAAGACTGTTGCTTGGAACTCAGGTTCTGAAATTAGTCTGTTTAGAAATATTTTGCCAGCCCCTCCAAGTCTCCAAAACTCCCAAAGTCCAAAATGGGGGGAAATAATTGTAAAACCTCAAGAAATGGCTCTGCATCCGTAACACATGATTTGCCATGTTTCGTATATGCAATTCACATATATTTAAATAATCATTTACCAGTCATTTAAAAATAGATTTGAAAACTAAAAGATCTTCAGTGTGGTGGTGATCTTTTTATAATGAGCCTTTTTATGACTTGTAAAAATACTGCAAATCTCAGGGTAAGGCTATCTGCTTGTACAAGCAAGAGTGTAATATTTTAGAATAGCTACAAATGCAATGGCAAATTAAAATCAAACTATCTGTTAAGTGTGGGGAATCCAGATTAAAATAAGACAGATTCTAAAAAGAATGTAAGAGTTTGGGCACTCTTGTCAAAATGTTTGACTCTGCAAATGTGAGAGAAGAGACAAAACATTTAGGCCTGGTCTGCAATATAATGGAAGGCCAAATTAAGATACATAACTCCAGCTATGTAAATTGCCTAGCTGGAGTTAACGTATCTTGCAAAGCATTTCCGGGCTGTCCACACAGCGGTAGGCCAATGGGAGCAAACTTTCTGTCAGCTTGCTTTACTCCTTGTGAGGAGCAAGAGTACTGGCGCTGACAGGGGCATCCTCTGAATTTGATGTTGCGGGAAGATCGACCAGGGCAGCGTCAATCTTCCACATAGTGTAAACATGCCCTCAGTTACCAACCACAAGGCACTGTGAAGGTGCATTTTTGTTTGGGAAGTAAAATTTTTGATTCTATTTTGACCTACCTGCCACCTGTTTTTATCAGAAAAAGCGTTATTGATGAAAATGTGTAGAGAACAGATGTCTATTCCATTTCTTTCTCTTTTTTTAGTTCTAAAATTGGAGTATGCTTGATCAACAGGCTCTAGAACTCATATGTTATTTTCAGAGGAAATAAAAAGGGATTTTGTTAAGATTAGAGGCTGAAATGATACAGACTCATGAATTAAAGTGGTTTCTAGAGACAAAGAAGGTTTTTTATTTATGAATAGGTGGTGGGGGAGGGAAGGCTTGGTGAACCATTCAACAAAACTCACAGCAGGAAGAGCAGAACTATGTGAAATTCACTGGGATCAGCAAAATCTACCAAGCTCAGTGTAAATTTGTGCCTGTTCTCTCCTTATTACAAAACTCCCACTCAAAACAAACAATACCCAGCTTTTCTGGAATCTAGTATTAGTAAATGAATTTAAAAGAGTTTGCTTCACTTTTTGTTTGGCAATGTAAAACATATACTCTGATCGTTGCAGGAAAACAAGGTCAGTATTATTGTTCTGTAGTCTCTGGCAACAGGAAGGCCATAAGGCTCATCTGGTGTCAGCTGCATTCATGTGCAAAGTAGAAACTGAACTGAGCATATCTTTGAACTGAATTTGGTCTTTCAGACAGTACCAGACTCTTTAAGGGGTGTCGCACACTTGAAAGTTGGTTACTGGTTCCAAATGCTGCAGTAGCATCTGCTCACAACTAGCTAGAAATCATGTTTAATAACAAGAAAATGTACTTCAGCCAAATCCCCGTTGGGAGGGCTTTAGCCTGAACAAAAGGCCCCCACTACCACTGATTTCCATAACAGATGTAGTATCTGATGCATGACAGCTCAGTGTAGTGTTGCTCCATTATTTCCCTCCATATCCATCTGCAAGGAACGGTTCTTTCATTTTATTAATTGCTCTAGTGTGCGACACATTATATTGTGTTGCCGGGAGAGTAAGTTTTTGTGCTTCATGCTAAACTGATCATAATAATAGTTTTGTTTTTTAAAACCTTAATGTTAAACATTATTATCTCTTCCTTTTTATTTATCAATGCATAACTTATATTCAAGAAAAATAGTGAGGAGGCTCTGAAGGGTCAAATGTATCACTTTAAGAGAAGGGTTTCTTTTCACAATAATTGTATTCCTCTTCCCCTACCTACTCACCAGAGCTGCTAGTTAATCCTGATATAGCTAGAAAGTTCTAGTTTGATAGTAATATGTAATATATTTTGCAACTATATTTTTTATAAAGGCATTATGAACTTAAAACCTGAGAAAAATTGGAGTCTATAGTTCCCTAAATTTGTTACATCATAATTTTTCTTGCAACCTTGGTTTATCAACAGAGATGTGGGGCTTTTCAGTTAGATTTTGTTCCATCCCAACCCATCTTCTTGTTCTCTTTGATCCTGCTAGGGAGTCAAGGTACCAAAACTGAATCACATATCTTCCATCTGGGCAACAGACTGATGTCTCAAAAGACAGGATCGTTATGACTTC